AAGGACAGGAGGAGGTGGAACACGAGAGCGGAGAACAAGGTGAAACGGACCGTCTGCACGGTAACGGGACCGACGGGGCTGTGGAGACACAGCACGACTGAGGGGAGGACGACGAGTCCACTGGGAGGAGGAAAGGGACTCAACTGGTGGAACAGGAGGGGACGACAGGGGACCACGAACAAAGCGTGCAGGTGCTGGGTCGGGGAGGTCGCGTAGTCGCAGTCGCTGCTGCTCCGCCTCCTCTGGCGTCTGCTGCGACGGTACCGGCCCCTGCTGCTGCTCCTGTGGCTCCGCCTCTGCCCTCTCCTGCTGCGGCTGCAGCTGTACCCGCTGCTGCGACCGGGACTCCTGCGCTACCCTCTCCTGCTGCTGCCGTGACTCCTCCTCTACTCTCTCCTGCTGCGTCTGGAACTGCACCTGCTGCTGCGGGTGGGACTCCTGCTCTACCCTCTCCTGGTGCGGCCGTGACTGCTCCTCTACTCTCTCCTGCTGTGTCTGTAACTGCACCTGCAGCTGCGGGCGGGACTCCTGCTCTACCCTCTCCTGGTGCGGCCGTGACTCCTCCTCTACCCTCTCCTGCTGCGGCTGCAGCTGCACCCGCTGCTGCGACCGGGACTCCTGCGCTACCCTCTCGTGCTGCTGTTGTGACTCCTCCTCTACTCTCTCCTGCTGCTGCTGCTGCTGCTGTGCCCTCTCAAATCGCTCACGCTCCTCCCTCTCCAACCGGAGGAGACGCTGCTCACGGGTCAGGAAACGTACAGTGCGCGGTGTAGGCGCCACAGTGCCAGTGCCTCCAGCTCCAGCACCCCCAGAACCAGCACCTCCACCACCAACACCCCCGGGGCCTCCAGTACCTCCCGCAGGAACACCCCCAGGCTCCGCAGCAACCGACCGCAGAGAAGAAGGAGGAGGAAACTGCGGGACGGACGGGAAGCCAGGGGGTGAGGCAGGGCGAGGCCGCCGAGTCGAGGCTGCCGTGTCCTCCACAGGAGTGACCTCCACGCCCACAACCCCTGCACCCCCAGAGCCGGCACCACCAGCTCCTGCAGCCCCAGTACCCTCACCCTCCGCAACTGCACCTCCCGCACCCCCAGACACGACAGGGACTGGACGCTGCGGGGGGGAAGACTGCGGAGTGACGTGCGACACACCTGACGGGGCAGGACGCGAAGGGGGGGGGGCTACCGGGGCGACTGGTGGGGGCTCAAGGGTGAGGAACAGCGGGGGGGAAAAGGCCTGAGTACCTCGGTGGGGGCGACTCCTGTAGTAACAGACAGACTCGTCGAACGTGACGTCCTGCGAAGCGAAGAACTGGTAGGTGACCGGGTCGTAGAACACCCAGCCGGAGGCGTCCAAAGGGAAGCCAAGAAAGACGCAGGCACGAGTGCGCGGAGACAACTTGTTCGCGCCAGGGGCGCGAACGTGAGCCAGACAACCCCAGACGCGGAAGTCAGCTGCTACGCCCGGAGAACCTGTCCAAAGGGAGACCGGCGTCACCCTTGGCCGTGCGTCACTGGGCCACAGGTTTAGCTGGTGCGCGGCGTAGCGGACTGCCTGGGGCCACAAGAACTGGGGGGCACCGGCATGGCACATGGAGGTCCGGGCAACCTCCATGACCAGGCCGATGCGTCGCTCGGCTACCCCGTTCTGCTGCGGTGATGCTGGTAGCGTGTAAGACTGGATGATCCCCCGACCCTGACAGAACGTCTCCAGGCGAGTGGAAGAAAACTCACCACCACGGTCCGAGTGTAGGCGAAGCCCACACAGGCCCTGGGCGCCACCCCACGCTAGTAGCCACGGCTCGAGGACGGTAGGCACGTCGGCCTTCCGTCGCAAGGGGAAAACCGTGGTGTAGCGGGAGTAGTCGTCCACCACAATCAGGAAGTAGCGCTCCTGACGTGGGCCAAGGACCGGAGAGGGGCCCCAGACGTCCAAGTGCAGGGTCTCGAAGGGAGCCGTGGTGGGGGGGAACGAGGAGGAGTGAGGGGCAGCGCGCTGCCGACCCTCGACGCAAGGAGTGCACAGCGGCGCAGGAGAGCGGGGAAGCGGTGCAAGCGACCCTGGGAGACCTGAGACCAGACGGTAACGTGCCATCCTACTGAGACGCGGGAACGACGGGTGACCTAGACGGTGGTGCCAGAGGACCGACGGGTGGGTGAGGGACCGACAGTCACACGACACAGCAGCTACCTGACCTGACCTGACCTGACCCGACTCAGTGTGGTGGGACCCAGTGTGTAGTGAGTACAGACCAGATCCCGGCTCTCTGTGGAATGTGGCCAGGGGCGCCCCAGTGGCACCGACAGTGCAGGAGGCAACAGGCTCGTCCAGTGGGAAAGTAGTGACTACACCTAGGTCATGAAGGTGACTGACACCCACCAAGTTCCTAGAGAACGAGGGGGTGTAGTAACCTGTAAGAAAACCTGAGGGAGCCGCCGGACACGGAAGAGTGGTGGTGCTGCTAGCAACTACACGTCCCACAGAGGGGTCAGCCAAGGCGACAGTGACTGGAGTGCGCAGTGGTGTGAGGTCGGTACAGTCGCGAAAGAAACAGCTGGACGCTCCAGAATCTAGGGTGAAGGAAAGCTGTGCAGTCTGTGGGGTCGCACCCGAACCAGCTACAAAGGCTAGTGCTAGACTAGTGGTAGCTGCAGCTTCTACACAAAGACCCTCAGAGGCGCCGGGACTGGAAACAACACACGCACCAAGACTGGAAACACAGGTCTCTACTCGTGCAGCCGGAAAGGGTCCTAGACCAGGCAGGTGAGACTCAACTGGTGCAGTAGTGCGCTGGCGAAGGCGCGAAGGCCAGTGCGGTGTAATAGCGTGAGGACCAAAACGCTCACGGTGGAGGTCGTCGAGTCGACGGTAGCAGCTGGACGCAGTGTGGTCAGGACTCCAGCAGGTAGTGCCAGCACCAGGGCCTGTCAGGGCCCGGTACCCGCAGGGGCCGACGTCTCGCCCACTGCTAGCTGAGCCACTGCTGGGGGCGCCACACTTTGGACCCGCAGGCCCCAACTGACGGGAGTGCTGCGGCTGGCCCTGCTGCTGTAGAACACTAGTACATGCCATGTGAGCCTATGCTGCTACTGGTTCTGCTGAGGGCAGCCTAAGCTGCTGCTGGTGCGCTGGGGGCAGCCTGTGCTGCTTCTGGTTCTGCTGAGAGGCAGCCTAGGCTGCTACTGGTTCTCCAGGGGGCAGCCAATGCTGCTGCTAGTGCGCAGGCAGTTGCCTAAGCTGCTGCTGGTGCGCTGGGGGCAGCCTATGCTGCTGCTGGTTCGCTGGGGGCAGCCTATGCTGCTGCTGGTTCCGCTGGTTCTGCTGGTTCTGCTGGTTCTGCTGGTTCTGCTGGTTCTGCTGGTTCTGCTGGTTCTGCTGGTTCTGCTGGTTCTGCTGGTTCTGCTGGTTCTGCTGGTTTTGCTGGTTCTGCTGGTTCTGCTGGTTCTGCTGGTTCTGCTGGTTCTGCTGGTTCTGCTGGTTCTGCTGGTTCTGCTGGTTCTGCTGGTTCTGCTGGGGGCAGCCTACGTTGCTGCTGGTGCGCTGGGGGCAGCCTATGCTGCTGCTGGTGTAGCTGGCGGCAGTGTAATCGGCTGGGGCTACTGACGGCGGGTGTGGTAGGTCGTGGGGAGGCAGGTTTCAGGTGGGGAAGCTGTTAAGGCAGCGGGCTACGGGTGAGGCGGCGGTTCTGTGCAGTTCTGTGCGGTTATGTGCAGTACTGTGCGGTTCTGTGAGGTTCAATGCGGTGGAGAGGACTGGGTGGGGCAGCTGATTCCGGGTGAGGTGCCTGGAACGGGTGGGGCAGCAGGTTTCCAGGTGGGGCGGCGGTTGTCAGGTCTGGGGCGGTGGTTTTCAGGTGGGGAAGCTGTTAAGGCGGCGGTTCTGTGCGGTTCTGTGCAGTTATGTGCAGTTCTGTGCGGTTCAATGCGGTGGAGAGGACTGGGTGGGGCGGCTGATCCCGGGTGAGGTGCCTGGAACGGGTGGGGCAGCAGGTTTCCAGGTGGGGCGGCGGTTGTCAGGTCTGGGGCGGCGGTTTTCAGGTCTGGGGCGGCGGGTTTCCAAGTTCGGCGGCGGTTTTCAGGTCTGTAATGGCGGGTTTTCAGGTCTGGGGGGCGGTTAGGACGGTGGGCTGCACGTGCGCGTGGCCGCGACGTACTAGCGCGAAGCTGCGGGTGCGACTAAGGCTGCGCGCGCAGCTACGCGCGTTCGTCTGCTGCGCGCTAGAGGGCTGGGGGGAAACGCGCGGGGTAAAACGAGTGGGGCGCGGGGCAGAAAACGAGTGACGCACGGCAAAAACGGGTGGGGCGCAGGGCAGAAACGGGTGACGCGCGATGTCGACGGGGGGGCGCGACCTACTCGGGCTCTACGGGGCAGGGCGCTTCGGGCTATGGGTCGCTACGAGGCGCGCGGGTGGTGGGCCCATAGACTATCGAGAGAAATTTCGCCTAAGGGAAAAAATCGCCTAGGGGAAAAATCGCCTAAGGGAAACCTAGCTCTATACCATGTCAGAATCCCAACCACTAGACTATTGGGATATAAGGGCTTGTTAAGTAGCGGGTCAGTGCGCCCATAACCCCCCAGGACAACGAGCCTGTAACCCTTCCCTAGGATCAATCGGGGATCACCAGTGGACCTCTGACATGGTATCAGAGCGAAGGTCTCGGGTTCGAATCCCAGTGTGTGCACTTCGGGCATCCCAGTGCGGGGGGTTGTCAGAGGTCCACTGGTGATCCCCGATTGATCCTAGGGAAGGGTTACAGGCTCGTTGTCCTGGGGGGCTATGGGCGCACTGACCCGCTACTTAACAAGCCCTTTTATCCCAATGGTCTAGTGGTTGGGATTCTGACACACAGCCTGGGGCAGAAGGTGATGATACAGAGGCGTTGGGTGGGCCCGACGCCGGTGGGAAGAGGAGGGCGCGACGGCATAAACGAGGCGAGCATAAGGAGATGCTCAGAGCAGAGTACGAGAGGCGCGCCAGTATACCAGTGCTCGAGGCTCAAATGGCCAAAGGACGGATTGATGCGGAGGGCACAGTGGCCGATGATAAGATGCGTGGCCCAGAAATGGGAGACGGAGGGCAGCAGGGTGAGCGACTACCTGCAGCGGATCTCCGACGATCAGATGACGCTGTGGTGCAAACGATAGTACAAGGGCCAGCAGAGCTTGTGGGGCATAGGAAGACGGATAGGCTTGCGGAGAGGGCGGCGGGGCTGAAAAAATACGACGAGGACAGAAAGAGGTTAGAGGCGGAGGAGCAGCGCAAACGGACCGAATTCGAACGCCGCAAACGAGAACGGGAAGCCGCTAGGAGGGCATGTGACGAGCAATTGGCTAGTCTACAGGCCGGCGTAGAGGACGCAATGGTTCTCGATGATCAGGCAAAAGGCGTGGGAGACGAGGCGGCGGGGAATGCAGAGCATATTGTGCGCCTGGGAAGGGTGGTGCTTGTGGCGTGTGAAAAGGCGGCCGGAAAACAAGATCTAGTATCATCAACATCGGAGGAACAAGAGGGTGGTGGGGATCTAATCCAGGACGGGAAAGAAGGGGCGTCTGGATCAATGGCAAAGAGGCAGCATGTTGAGGGGGATAAAGCAGCAGATCAGAAGGGCATCTGTGAAGGTGCCTTGGAGGAGCGTGTAGAGGGATCGCCTATTGCGAAAGCGCTCAGGAATGAGGACATCAAGGTATTAGAGAGCGAGATAAAGGGGGTGAAGATTAAAAAGCCACAGGACCAGTTAGCGGCGGAGGTGGATAGTCTGGGTAAGAGGCGAGGTTTGCAGTTGCCGTTCAAAGCGTGTGGGTACTCCAAACGGTTGAGAGGGGGGGTGCTTAAATGGACTTCAGAGCAGACTGTGGGAGGGAGAAAGCGGTTTCTGGGACAGCACAACCAGGTATGGGATCGGAATCTTACCGTGGCGATTGGTTGGAAGGTATACTTCCCGGACGTCGACCTCGCGGCATACGGGATGAATCCCCTGCGCTTCAAGCTGTGGGAGAATGACTTGCTGTTTACGGTCGATATGCCAACAGGCGTGTGGAGCACGATCAACGAGCTCCACCTTGACAAACCCGAAAAGTGAGTTCCCTCAATTTCACCTATACCATCAAACCGGCGCCTATACCAAACTTACTTGCCTATACCATTACTTTCTGCTTTGATCAAAATTACACTTTTGCTGTGGCAGCTTCGTCATCGTGCGTGAAGAGACGGCCGAGAGGATGAATGAGGGGGATAGCTACAAGACAGCGCTATGCGCGGGGGTCGCGCGCACTGCACTTCTTAAGGACGTGGGCGGTGTTACCGGTGACGAGGGCCACTCTGTCCTGGAACATGCGGTTGGGCTGGCGGCAACCATGTCGGTGATGTGGGATGCCTCCACCCAAAAGGAGAGTACCAACTGGCAGACCAATGCTACAACTGCAGCACTAGCAACACACCTAGACCGTAAAATCGCCGCAAGAGCAGCAGAAGTGGCATCCGTCGCGGTAGAGTCGCTAAGGGCTGTCAACGGGAGGGTGTTAGACAAGGAAAGTTGGTTCCCTGTTCTTGCAGGCGCTCTTCTCGACAAGCTGCCTCCCGACTCTCGCGTCGAAGCGACAAAGACTATGACCAGAGTTGTGGCCAAAGGGATTACGTATTGGTGCCAATGCAGCATGGCTGCAAAGGGCCTGCAAGCATGGCACGGTGTTTCGATTGGGATTATCATGGCGAAACGGGGCGCGCGTGAGAACACGAGTGCAGTCTGTGCGGAGAAGGCGTGATCTGCCAGCTTAGTATAATCTGTGTATAGACGCTTTTGTTTCTCCTATGTTTAGTTTCAATAAACCTCTCTTTGTTTGCATGTACATTCGGGTAATTGTTCATTCTTAACACTTGCAAAGTTGACACGAATGTACGAGGACAATGTTCTACGATGATGTGTATAAGAGTACATGGCGTTGGAAATGGTCTCTGTGTCCCAGTATCAACCTTGTCAATAATCCGGGGGAAACTGTCCATGTTCGGCTCCAACCATGTAGCGAGGCAATTACTCTACCGAGTCGTTGCATAGTTGGCGCGAAATCAGGCTCGATGCCAGATCTGACAACCGACAGACATGCGTGGATTCTGTGACAAGCGTGCTGAGGTTGGGCCTCTGCATGCCACGCAGTTGCGCCGATAAATTAGGCGTGACACTTTGATCAACCTCATTCGTCGGAAATAACTCAACCTGCTGACGTGTCGTCCTCTTACAGCGCCTGAAGATTTTCCTCCCGAGCGTCAGTGCAGACCAATTCCGTAGTCCGGTTTTCTGAGCAGGGATAAGTGCAGTGGCAGACGGTACGCCCATTGCCTCATTACATTACGGTAGCCTCCATTGTCACCAAAAGTTAACTGAGGCCGCAAAACGTGTGAGGAACACCTAGCTGGATACGTCCTAACACTTCAACGTTCCGTCGGTGGTGTTCGACCGTGATGCGTCCAACTTCAATACATATTCATCAATCTCTCGCAGCCAATCTTATTTCCAGACCTCCTCGCAAACCCCTTACAATTCGTGCTCCGCACATTTGTCTTGATACTTGGCCTAGTAATTTCTAAGTCCAGACGTCACTCTCTCCTTCCAGTCGAGAATAGTTTCAAGGGTTGGAAGTCCCTGTCCGATGTCCGCGCACATGCTGTCGCGAGGCTGCGGCGTACGGGTTCTCGCTAGGGAATCGTACGAGGCATGGTGCTCACGTGACCGCGAATGGAACGAGGCTATGCTCGTATTCGCACTTCAGTAAGATGTTTGATAGTAATACACAACAACCCTAAATCACGCGCCAATACTTTAAACGATAACGCCTGATCAGGGTTAAATAAGGTATGATCGATTTTAACTCACCTGCGTTGTCTTGCTATCTACCGCAGAGAAGTGGCGTGGACAAAGCTGACGATCAAAGAGCGTCGGTGGATTAAGATTGTCCCGCCCTCCCAGCTTCAAGAGTTGCGGAGCAAGAATCCCTTGGAGCCCTTCAGCTTCTCTGGGAATCGGTCGTTTCTCGGCTACCAGATTGTGTTGTTCCCACTCCTCTCGCCGTGAGAACTTTTGGGCTCTTAGTTGTGTGCGTCCATCGCCGATGTGTCCACGATTCTAACAAGACGTTTCCCTTTGCGCAGGATCAACATGCCACCCGGAGCAAGGATTAGCCTCGTTGTTCTTCGGAGGCCGGACGATCTAATAAGGCCTCGAGGCTCCGATTACCGTACGCGCGTTCTCCATTTCGATCCGAAGTCACGCGCTCCAACACACAGCCACGGCTGGTTGGCAGGCGAGGTTTTTCAGTAAGAAATTAGTTTGTACGTGCGCTCACTATTATATGTGTATTTCAGTTTACTGACGATCCTTGTGTGTTGAGCAGGTGGCTTAAACAACAGCTACCAATAGAGTTCAGTCGGGGTCGCCGACCGGTAACCCCGCAGCGTCATCAAGTACTTCGCGGTATAAGGGCGCGCCTGGATGCGCTGAAGATGCAAACTGGTTCGGTAAGGCATTTGGCGTCTTGATGTTTTCGAAAAATGCAGTCATGAGTTACACAATTTTAGACAGCTACCAATGCGTGTTTGTACGTGTTCCAGATAATCAAAGACTTGGGCCCGCGACAAGTCGGTTCGGGCATTCGTGTGACCCACCTTTTCAGCAAGCTTCTCGATAAATGGGGGGACCTTCTTTCAATGCCTAGCGAGGAGAGGATGATTAATCTGGGGTTTGGCAAGAACTCGCGCTTGGACATCGAGAACTTTCTTGTGACGGATTGCAGAGCGTACTTCGATACGGTTGATGCGGGTGTTGTCAGAGCCATCGATTCGGTGGAGCCACTCAACTCTGACGAAGAATTCGAGCAGGTTGAGGAGGAGGAGGAGGAGGAGGAGGAGGAGGAGGAGGAGGAGGAGGAGGAGGAGGAGGAGGAGGAGGAGGAGGAGGAGGAGGAGGAGGAGGAGGATGCGGCGGCGGAAGCGGATGGGGCTGAAGATGAGGATGCGGATGAGGGGGAGGAGGCTGTAGAGGAGGATGCGGATGAGGGGGTGGAGGATGAAGAGGATGATGTGGATGAGGGGGGGGGGGGGGGGGGAGGAGGAAGAAGAGGAGAATGTACTGGCGTCTTAGCAGGGTTCATCAAGGGATATTGGGGGCGGGCCAGATGACTCAGACCACAGCTCAGCACTTGAGGTACAAGTGAGGACGGACGGTGCGCAGCTGGGCGCTGTACAGGATGATCGGGGAATGGCGGAGAGTGCACGGATGGATCCAGTTACCTATACCCGCAGAGTACGTGAGACGGCAACACGCATTGGGGAGTCTAGCCGTGTAGAGGGGAGGCGGAACAACGCGGCGGAGGACAGAAACCTGGACCGATATGAGGATGATGAGTCCGTTTACAGGAAGGTCAGCTTGTCAAGGGTCAGGCAACGTACGGTGGAGGTAGATAATGAGCGAAGAGAGCGAGTGGAGGCAGAGGATATGCCTCTGGAAGGGGAGGGGCCAATGGAGGTAGAAGAGAAGGAGCAGAGGGAGAGGGTTGCGGCAGAGGAGACACGGAAGGAGGAGGACGCGCGGAGGGAGGCTGAAGAGAAGAAGCAGAGGGAGAGGGAGGCGGCAGAGGAGAAACGGAAGGAGGAGGACGCGCGGAGGGAGGCAGAAGAGAAGAAGCAGAGGGAGAGAGAGGCGGCAGAGGAGAAACGGAAGGAGGAGAACACGCGGAGGGAGGCAAAAGAGAAGAAGCAGAGGGAGAGGGAGGCGGCAGAGGAGAAACAAAAGGAGGAGGACGCGCGGAGGGAGGCAGAAGAGAAGAAGCAGAGGGAGAGAGAGGCGGCAGAGGAGACACGGAAGGAGGAGACCGCGCGGAGAGAGGCAGAAGAGAAGAAGCAGAGGGAGAGGGAGGCGGCAGAGGAGAAACGGAAGGAGGAGGACGCGCGGAGGGAGGCCGAAGAGAAGAAGCAGAGGGAGAGAGAGGCGGCAGAGGAGAAACGGAAGGAGGAGAACACGCGGAGGGAGGCAGAAGAGAAGAAGCAGAGGGAGAGAGAGGCGGCAGAGGAGAAACAAAAGGTGGAGGACGCGCGGAGGGAGGCAGAAGAGAAGAAGCAGAGGGAGAGAGAGGCGGCAGAGGAGAAACGGAAGGAGGAGACCACGCGGAGAGAGGCAGAAGAGAAGAAGCAGAGGGAGAGGGAGGCGGCAGAGGAGAAACGGAAGGAGGAGGACGCGCGGAGGGAGGCCGAAGAGAAGAAGCAGAGGGAGAGGGAGGCGGCAGAGGAGACACGGAAGGAGGAGGACGCTCGGAGAGAGGCAGAAGAGAAGAAGCAGAGGGAGAGGGAGGCGGCAGAGGAGAAACGGAAGGAGGAGGACGCGCGGAGAGAGGCAGAAGAGAAGAAGCAGAGGGAGAGAGAGGCGGCAGAGGAGACACGGAAGGAGGAGACCGCGCGGAGAGAGGCAGAAGAGAAGAAGCAGAGGGAGAGGGAGGCGGCAGAGGAGAAACGGAAGGAGGAGGACGCGCGGAGGGAGGCCGAAGAGAAGAAGCAGAGGGAGAGAGAGGCGGCAGAGGAGAAACGGAAGGAGGAGAACACGCGGAGGGAGGCAGAAGAGAAGAAGCAGAGGGAGGGAGAGGCGGCAGAGGAGAAACAAAAGGTGGAGGACGCGCGGAGGGAGGCAGAAGAGAAGAAGCAGAGGGAGAGGGAGGCGGCAGAGGAGAAACGGAAGGAGGAGGACGCGCGGAGGGAGGCCGAAGAGAAGAAGCAGAGGGAGAGGGAGGCGGCAGAGGAGACACGGAAGGAGGAGGACGCTCGGAGAGAGGCAGAAGAGAAGAAGCAGAGGGAGAGGGAGGCGGCAGAGGAGAAACGGAAGGAGGAGGACGCGCGGAGAGAGGCAGAAGAGAAGAAGCAGAGGGAGAGAGAGGCGGCAGAGGAGACACGGAAGGAGGAGACCGCGCGGAGAGAGGCAGAAGAGAAGAAGCAGAGGGAGAGGGAGGCGGCAGAGGAGAAACGGAAGGAGGAGGACGCGCGGAGGGAGGCAGAAGATAAGAAGCAGAGGGAGAGAGAGGCGGCAGAGGAGACACGGAAGCAGGAGAACACGCGGATGGAGGCGGAAGAGAAAGAGCAGAGGGAGAGGGAGGCGGCAGAGGAGACACGGAAGGAGAAGGACGCGCGGAGAGAGGCAGAAGAGAAGAAGCAGAGGGAGAGAGAGGCGGCAGAGGAGACACGGAAGGAGGAGACCGCGCGGAGAGAGGCAGAAGAGAAGAAGCAGAGGGAGAGGGAGGCGGCAGAGGAGAAATGGAAGGAGGAGGACGCACGGAGGGAGGCAGAAGAGAAGAAGCAGAGGGAGAGAGAGGCGGCAGAGGAGACACGGAAGCAGGAGAACACGCGGATGGAGGCGGAAGAGAAAGAGCAGAGGGAGAGGGAGGCGGCAGAGGAGACACGGAAGGAGGAGGACGCGCGGAGAGAGGCAGAAGAGAAAATGCAGAGGGAGAGGGAGGCGGCAGAGGAGACACGGAAGGAGGAGGACGCGCGGAGGGAGGCAGAAGAGAAGAAGCAGAGGGAGAGAGAGGCGGCAGAGGAGACACGGAAGCAGGAGAACACGCGGATGGAGGCGGAAGAGAAAGAGCAGAGGGAGAGGGAGGCGGCAGAGGAGACACGGAAGGAGGAGGACGCGCGGAGAGAGGCAGAAGAGAAAAAGCAGAGGGAGAGGGAGGCGGCAGAGGAGACACGGAAGGAGGAGGACGCGCGGAGGGAGGCAGAAGAGAAGAAGCAGAGGGAGAGAGAGGCGGCAGAGGAGACACGGAAGCAGGAGAACACGCGGATGGAGGCGGAAGAGAAAGAGTAGAGGGAGAGGGAGGCGGCAGAGGCGAATGTTCGTATGGAGATAGAGGACGACAATGAAGAACGGGTAGTGACGCGTAATTCCGCAGATAGACAAAGGCGTGTCAGTGAGGTAAGAGTCGTGGATGAAAATGCAGTCGCGGATGCACCAGAGGCAGTGCGTACGGGATTGGGAGTGGCCAGTGGGGATGGCGGCGACGAGGAGCTGTGGCACAGCCAGGTGAGGAGCTTGAGGCGACATGCGTACCGGATGGCTGAGGAGATACAGGCTGTCGAAGGGGCATTAGGGCGTGATCAAAGAGACACTGGAGGTGCAAGCCGAGTTATACTGGACGAGGTTGGGAGGCGGGAAGAGCGGGCGGAGGAGATGGCGACTCATCGTGCGACTGCACGTCAAAGGATTGAGACGCTGCGTCAAGCGGTTGCGAACCAGCAGAGAGAGTTTGAGGCACAATTGGAAAGAGAGAGGGAGGCGAGGCGGGTAAGACAGGCTGCGGCTAACGAGACGGTGCGAGGACAGCAGAGAGCGGAGGACCCAACAGCATCGGAGAGGGACCGAGAATGGGACGAAGCAGAGGCCGCATTACGTCGTGTAATGGGGGAAGCAACCCCGATAATGGTAGAGACAGCAGAGGGTTTCGTAGAGGAGGGGACGTTTAACTTGACCCCTATAGAGGTGCTCAGGCGGTTGACGCTAGTCGGGCGGGCAATGGCAACAGCATCATCGGAACAATCAGCGCGTATCACCGCAGTAAGCCAGGACTTGCGCAACATGATCAACAGCCACGGGGAATGGCTTGAGCAGTATTACCGAGATTCGGTAGACACGCTGCGTGAGTTCGACCTTGCAAATGCCGTTTGGTTAAACGAGGCTGCATTGGCGGCCGAGCAGAGAAGGCGGATTTTTACCCGGCTAGACGGGATGCAGGAACGAATTGAGGGTGGGATGAGGGCTGCAGTACGTCGAGAAATAGCACCACTGGAGCGGTCGATAGTGGAGCAACTGAGGGAGGCCGTGGATTCGGCCTTGGAAGGTTTGCGCCATTCAGTGGATGCAGGTTTGCGACAGTCGGCAGAAGACATCAAGAATGGCATCGCGCGGACGGTAGAGGACAGGATGAGGGAGTTGTTAAGAGCAGAAGCGCGCACCAAGCACCAAACCACTGCAGCACCACCGGAGTCACCAAATCTTGACGAGGTGGAAGCTGCGCGCGTCGTCAACAGGTGGTTGCATGGTGTTGGTGATAGTGTGCTGGTGGATAGGCAGGCGGAAGGTGAGGGGTGCAGAGCGGCCGGGCATGGAGCGGTATTGAAGCCAGCGAGGAGTGAGGGGAACAAGGGGGGATTGCATAGTGCGCAGCCTGCGGTGGTCGCTGAGACAAAACGGAAAGCAGCGGTTGCACGGAAGGCGCGGAAAGAGAAGGTGATGGAGCAGAGGGAGGCGGAAAGAGTCCGGGTAGAGCAGGAGGATACAACGAAGAGGCGAGCAGAAGCCGCAGAGAGGGCATCAAAGGAGCGAGAGGAGGGTGAACGGCGCAGGGCAGAGGAAAACGACAGGAGGCGTGCAGAAGAGGCTGAACGGCTGGAGATGGAGCGAATAGCCTATGCCGAACGCATAAGGGCAGAAGAACTGGAAAAGACACGCACGCGGGAAAGAGCGGACACAGATAGACGACAGGCAGAAGTGGCGGCAATGTTGCACAGACAGCTTATGGAGAAAAGGCTGGCAGAAAGAGAAGCTGCGCTGGCCAGGGTTGCCGAAAATAGGAGGCGTCTTGAACAAGAGGCGGAGGAGGAGAGGCTGGAGTTGGAACGTCGGCAGAGGCAGAGGGATGCGGAGAAGAACGCAATAGAAGCGGAGAGGCAAAAGCTGGCGAGGGAGGTAGAGGAGGAACTGTTGCAGGAGGGGCTGCGGAATGGGATAAACAACTTGGAATTGACAGCTGACAAGACGGTGGAGGGTGTGGGGAGGGTTCCGACAGAGGGAAGGGAGGTGACGTCGAGAGGAACGGAGGTGAATTTTGTGGAGGGGTCAGCGGGAGAAGACGACGTAGACGGGTAGATGGAGCGGAGTCGCAAACGAATTCGAAGAGAAAGCGTAGTCTGGCAGGGAGGGGAGAACCGCGCGGTACAGAGAGCGCAGTGGTGCTTACAGACAACACTGTCCAAGTAGAGGAAGCGGTTTTTGACGTGGAGGAGGCGGGCGAGTTACTGGGGCTAATCGGGGAAGGCGATTTGTCAAACGAGAAAATACCCGTAACTGAGCGGGAAACGAGAGGTTTGAAACTGGGTGTGTACGACTCACTCATAGACAAGGTGCCAGATAAGCTGGGTAAGCGTTGGGGTGTGGAGAGGCCGTTCAAGGCCAGCGGTTTCGGGAAGCGGGGAAGGAACCCGGGTTACAAGTGGACGTCAGAGCAGACGGTTGGCGGGAGGAAACGGAATCTCGGGTCGCACTCTACCGTGTGGGAGAGAAACTTCACGGTCGCCCTCTGCTGGAACGTTTACTTCCCCGATATCAACATGGAGGCGTATGGAATGAATCCCGATCGATTCCCTCTATGGACCCTAGACCTGCAGTGGGCGATTAATATACCGACCGGCGTGTGGAGTGTCCTCAACGAGCTCCACCTAGACAAACAAGACCAGTGAGTTTCCCTTTTCCCGTTTTGTTGGTTACCTGTCTATTTGTTTCAGAGTGCTCTAATCTCTCTTTACACGGCTTATGTAAATCCGGTGCAGTTTCCAGCTCGTCCACAGAAAGTCGGACGAGCAGATCGCAGAGGGGTGTCGTTTCCAAACAGCTGTATGCGCGGGCATTGCGCGAACCTCGTTGGAGAACGGCTTTGGAAAGGAGACTGGCGAAAATCCGGTGTCGGCGCTGCTATTCGCTGTGGGAATGGCAGCAACGATATCTGTTATGTGGGATGCATCAACTGGAGTAGACAGCTCGCACTTGCTGTCGGGGGCCACATCTGCTGCCCTCGCCTCACACCAAGATCGAGGACTTGCCTCACGGGCGGCAGATGTGGCATGCTTGGCTGTAGAGGCGCTAAGATTTGTCGGTGGCACTACCCTGGACAGAGAGGGCTGGTATACGCGCCTGGCAGCTGAACTGTACAACATTGTGCCCGTAGAGACACGGGCAGGCAACACGAAGGCTTTGACGCGCGTCGTGGGCAAGGTTGTGACATGGTGGTGTGAATGCAGCATGGCATCACGCGGGCTAGTCGCTAACCATGGAGTCTCGCTAAACTTTCCGCAACCAAAGAGGTCATGCCTGGAAGAGGACTTGTAGGGTTGTTTAGATGTAGTTGTGTTTGGTTTTATAGTGTAGTGGGTCTGAGACTTGAGTACATTTGCAATTTGTGAAAAAACCCAGTCCCTACATTTGCGTTGGTGTAACTTGTTTGGCGCGAAGTTTATGAGGCGGCGGTATAATGACAGCGCCACTAACTATACCCGGAACGGTAGATCGCGCATATTGATTATACCAGAGAGTCAGTAGAGGCGTAAGAGGGTGATTCAGTTGCGGGATAGTCAACCGTCGACCATTTCGTATATGTTAACGTATATCATGCTTGTCGAATATCTGCATTGTGATTTCGTGTAGCGAGGCCCTAACCTTAACTAAGACGGTAGAGAGTGCGTGTAGAAAAAGGCAGGCAGAAAGGCAATCGCATGGCATGCGGTAGCAAGATCGTGTCTATTTAAGCTCCCGACCCACAGGTGACCCTATACCACGTAAAGAACCACTGTAAACCACCTGCCTCACAATGGTGCAGTACGCACACTGCACTTGGACACCATCTATACTACTATGTGGCGTTGGGCGAAGCAGGTTGTGCCGCTGATGCAGCCCTAGCAGCAGCAGCAGCTTCCTTCTCCTCTTCCGCGATCTTGATGGTATTCCACTCGGCCCCGAAGAGCTTTGCTGCCCACGCCTCGTCGCGCAGCTCCATTTTGACGATGAGCCAGGTGATATATCGATGCGCCTTCTCGTTGGTGCTCTTCCCCACCGTTGTCGTTTTACGGGAACGCTTCTTTGGTAGCGCAGCGCCGAGAATCAGGCCGTCTGTGAAATCTCTGAAGTTTGATTTTGCCAACACCGTGTCCAGACGCGCAACAGCATATGCGGTCTCAGCGTCGGTGATGTCTACCCTGAACGACTCTACGGCCTCCATGACTGTAGCCCAGCGACGCATTTTCCGGTCGCAAGTTTCCGTGGCCATAGCGCTCGGTCCACCCGGGGCGTAGGTGGCGTACGTGCTGAAGAAGTTCTTATGCTGCTTCTCGAGCGCTACGCGAACTTCGCGCAGAGACTGGCCATTCATGATGTGAGCCTTCTTCACCCACAGACCCCAAGCCGCAGCCACAGTCTTCGCATCACGCCATTCAACAACGGCGTGTTTGAAAAAGGCCTCCTCGACAGAGACTGCCTGTGGTGTGGCCGATGACTGGCCAACAGCACCTCCATCACTCACTGTGGACGATCCGCCCCTGCCCGCAGAGGCATTGACACCGTGACTGGGGGCTCCACCACTGCACTTGAGGGCCTCAAACTCTGCCAAGAGCTGAGCGTACGCGACGTCCCGTTGAGCGAGGGCTGACTTCAGCTCCTGGTTCTGGGACACGACCTGTGAGTAGGCGCCCTGCACTCTCCCGCATTCCTCCCTGAGCATATCGTTGGCGATGTAAATCTTCTGCATCTTCTCTTCGGCGGTATAGCGGAATTGTAAGTCCTGCAAAAAACAAAAGAGTCAGAGCCGTATAGTGGGTGTCAACGGGAGTAGTGTTTGGCCCCGTCCTCGCTTGGGCGGAGCCGACCGCGAGGGCCGCGAAACCGTGGGCGGACCACGGGGGCCGCGAAATCGTGGGCGGACCATGGGGGCCACGAAACCACGGGAGGACCGCGGGGGCCACGAAATCGTGGGCGGACCACGGGGGCCACGAAACCGCGGGAGGACCGCGGGGACCGCGAAATACCCTGTCAACCAGGATACCCGGGCGATGTGCACGAAAGTCGCGAGGGTGTTTTCTGCGAGGACGACCTCGGGGGTGGTATCCCGAGGTCGACGTGGCTGGTGGGCGCCGTCACGGGTGGAGTGTCTGCGCTGGACATGTGACGGGGAGTTGGGCGCCAACCAGCTGCACGCACCTGCGAAGCTGGTGCACCATTGTCAAGCGGGTGCAACGCTGTGCAGCCGAATTACTGCAGCGTTGGCACACCGCGGACTTGCAACGTTGGCAAGCCGCGACTTTGCTCTGCTGGAGCGCGGTCGACCAAGTCGTGCTGGCACGCGGTCGACCGTGCTGCGCTGGCAGTCGACCAGCAGCCTTGCTAGGTCTGATGTAGTCTGTGTTGCCAATGTTGATGCAATCATTCTGAACTTTTGTTGTCATGTTTTCCTAGTGAAACTCTTGCCAATTTTCCCCGTGAACTAGCAAATAGTGTTAGCACTTGGAAACGACTAAGGAAGGGACGAACGCAGAGATCACACGAGCATCCGTGCCTAGCCCGTAGTCTAGCTCCCGTTGCAATAGTTATCTCCGCATGGTGCGGTGAGCGTGGACGGCACACGACTTACCTTTTCAGTCGGGTCGACGTAGTAGTCACTTACCTATTGTGTTCGTAGGCCGGCAGCTGTGCGAGTCACCACCATGGTTGGCGTGGGTGACGCTGGTGTTGCCGACACCATGGAGGCACGGCTGGCAGGCGCGAGGAGACGCCATGAGGCGTAGGAGTTTGGCGACCTCCCGTGGGCGGTCGTCGAGGCTGGCATCCGCGCCGTGTGGGCGACGGAGCACCCTCCTTCTCAGCCTGCTTCTCCTCGACCGGTGAACACCGAGGGCGGCGTCAACGTGGGCGTCAACGCCGGAGGTGGCCAAGTCGGCAGCAGTGCGGGAGGCACGTCGAGGCAGCGTGGTGTGATTCACGCCGATGAAGTCGGCGGCGTTCAGGCGCGAGGGATGCAGTCGTTCGCGGCTGCAGGGGCCTCGCGGGGCTACGTCGGAGGCAGACGAAGTGAATTGGCGCCGATGTCGGCGACACACGTGACCGCGGGAGGAATTGCGCCGAGCTACGGCTACTTCAAGTTTACGCCGGACAGGATCTCGGTCACCCCTCTGCTGGTCGGTCGTCCCGACATCCTCACGTGGAAGGAAGCCATCGAGCCCCAGCTGGAGATGGCCGGGCTGATGGGCTTCGCCCGCGGGACCATGGCGACGCCAGAGGAGCACCACCCCGACCTGCGAGCAGAGTTTCGCGCCGTGCAGTTGCTGACCTTTACGGTCATCTCGCGGTGCTGCTCGCCGGGCGTACAGATCGCCCTGAAGTCGTGCAGGGAGTACCTCGACGCCGGCCACCGGGCGTGGCATTTCATCGAGTCAACTTACCAGGTCACCGACGACTTGTTCATCGCCCAGCTTGAGGGGCAGTTGACGCACCTGCGTATGGGCGACGCGGAGACCGCGACTGACTACTGCAACCGAGCTCGGCGAATTCTCGCCACCATTCGGATGGCTGGCGCGGAATACTCAACGTCGTCGTACGTCACACATGTGATGCAGGGACTCCCGAGCAGCTATAACCTGCTGAAGCGGCTGTCGATGGCGCCGAGCACGCGGGCGACGCTCAACGAGGACACATTGACCTCGTACATCCTGCAGGACGAGGCGATGCAAGAGGCTAAGCGGTCCCAGGAGCTCCTCGCGCAAGTGAACTACGTCGCCCTGGCGAAGCAAGGTGGTCGACCGGGACAGCGCGGGCAGTCTGGTGGCAGTCACTGCGGTGGCGGGAAGCCGGTGAAGGCCGCTGACACGAACAAGTCAGCCAAGGATGGCGGTCGTGGAGGAGGAGGTCGACGTCGGGAATGCTGGCTGTGCGGCGATCCCGATCACCTCTCCTTCGAGTGTCCCGACCGCAGTGACTCGGACGACGACGAAACCAAGGGAGGCCGCGGGAGGTCTGGCAGCCGTCGTCCGCGTCGAGGAAACCAGCCGCGAAAGGAGAAGGAGTCGACGAAGTCGACCTCGGCGAAGGACGCCGACTCTTCCGCGGGTGGCAAAGGGCGAGGCGACAAGGAGGCGTCGTGCTCGCTGGTCGGTATCGTAGAGCCGACCGTCTCGCTGGCGCCGGAAGCTGGCGAGGATTTCCAGGCGGTGGCGGCAGCTGTGCAAGCGAACCCCACGGTGGTCCTGCTCGACAGCGGCTGCTCGCACCACCTGATGGGGACGAAGGAGGCCTTCGTCGACTTGGGGCCGAGCGGCGACGTGAAGCACGTGCGCGGCTTCAATGGGGCGCTGCAGGACGTTCGCGGCCGTGGCACGGTTGCACTGCAAGGGAAGGCCGGAAAGCGGGTACTCATCTCCGACGTTCTCTACGTCCCGGGCATGCAGACGAATCTGCTTTCGGCCGGCCAGCTGAAGGAGAGCGGGGTGACGCTGAAGGACGACGGCGACCGGATGTTGCTCGTCTCCGCGGCGGGGGACGTGCTCGGTCGCGCGACGTACACTGGCCGGGTCCTCTGCACTGACCTGCGCCCATGCGCGGTCAAATCGGCGACGCCCGCGAAAGAGGAGGTGGCTCTGCGGGCGATAGTCTCGGCGACGAAGGCAACCCCGAACAGGCTGCACGCAAGGCTTGCGCATGTTGGCATGGACACCATACGGAGCTCGGCGAAGCACGGGGTCGCCACCGGGCTGGACCTCCAGTCGGCTCCTGGCGCCGACTCGCCGTGTGTTTCGTGCGTCGGCGGGAAGCTGGCGCGGCACACCTTCCCCGACCACGGCTCCGAAGCCGACGACGTCCTGGCCGTCGTGCACATCGATTTGTGCAGGCCATTTCGCGTGGCTGCCAAGGACGGCAGCCTGTACTTCTTGCTGCTGAAGGACCGCAAGACCCGCTATGTGTGGGTGAGGCCGGTCGCCAAGAAGTCGGACGTGCTGCTGGAGTTCCTGAAGTGGCTGGTGTTGGTGGAGCGGCAGGCGAAGCATTCGGTGCTGCAACTGCGTTCTGACCGCGGGGGGGAGTTCCTCGGAAAGGAATTCACCGCCTTCGTGGACAGCAAGGGAATCGTTCACGACTTGACCTGCCCTTACACCCCGCAACAGAATGGCATGGCGGAGCGGGAGATGCGGACGGTGGTGGAGTCGGTGCGGACGATGCTACTGCACATGGGCGTACAGCACCACTGGTGGCATCTCGCTCTGCGGCAGGCCGTCTGGGTTCGCAACTGCCTGGAGCGGTCGTCGCTGCCCACGGGGATGATGCCGTACCAGCTCCTCACCGGGCAGAAGCCCGACTTGTCGATGGCGCGGGTGTGGGGCTGCATGGCGCAATTCCTCGTCCCTGAGCAGCAGCGCGGTGGGAAGCTGAAGCCGAAGGCCCGGTGGGGCCTTCACCTCGGCGTGTCGGAGGAGAGCAAAGGCTGGGAGCTCCTCGAAATCGCCAACAACCGGGTGGTAACCACGTCGGACGTGGTGTTCTACCAAACTCTGTCGCTGGAGGTGTGGAAGTCGGAACTCGGGCCCACGTCGGGGCGAACGCGGGCCACCCCGCCGACGGACACCTCGACGGCGACGCTTCCTCTGCTCGCCGAGGTCGGTGAGCAGGCTAATGAGGATGACGCGGTTGCCCCTGCCTCGCCATCTACTGCCCCGTCTTCCCGTCCCCTTCCCGTCGAACTGCGTGGCCTGACTCCGGTGTCGGCCTCCGGCGATGAGGGGAGCCGAGGGGCGTCGCCTGTGGCGCCGGCCAAGAGCATCGCCGGTGGCCGACGTGATGCTCAGCCAGTCGCGAAGAAGCGGGCCGCGGAGGTGCAGCCAACTTTGGACACCGCGAAGGAAACCGCGAAGGACACCGCGAAGGAGACCGCGGACGAGACCGCGGAGGAGACCGCGGAGGAGACCGCGGAGGATCCCGCGGCTAGCAGGCAGCTGACAGGGGAACAGGCAGCAGCTAAGCCGACCGCGGAGCAGTTGGCAGGGGAGCTTTCGAACGCGGAGCTCGCTTCAGAGGAGCGGACGACAGGGGAGCAGTTCGATGAAGGCACATCGAGCGACGTGGTGGAGGTGCAGCCCGGACCTCGGAAGTCGGGCCGAATTCGCAGGCCACCCGACTTCTTCGTCCCCGCTGCCTTCACCACAATGTACGATGTGGATGACGACGACCTGGCGTACGATGACGCCGAAGACGATGAGGAGTTTTCGGAGCTCGACCCCGACATGCACGCCGATCCCGAGCACCGTTGGGACATTTCGACCATGACGGTGAAGGAGGCGTTGGCGAGCTGGAAGGGCCCGGCGGTGAAGGCCGCCATGGAGGAGGAGATTCGTAGCCTCATCTGTCGCGATATATATTTATATATGTTTATAATTGCCTGTAGCTTTAGCTTTAGTGTAGTTATGTTTCTTTGTTGTGGTGGTGCACCTCTTTGTTTCTTTGCTATATGTTCTTGCAAACCTATAGTGAAGACACACATTCTCGATTCTCTCTTGGCACAACTCCCTCGACACCCGCTCGGCCTAGGCTACTAAGCCTAGGCCCTTAGTTAAACCCGTTCCTAGCTAAGTTCGTCTCGTGACATGGTAACAGAGTGGTCCGTCCTAGGACCTATTTCGTTTATGGGCCCACCACATTTCGCGACTGCTACAGTTAGTGGCGCGAAATCCGCACCTTGCGTATCTTTTTTTTTTCCCTGCTGCTCGCGCTGCCCCCCGTCGCCTGCCTCGTCGCGGCTCTCAGCGCGACGGGCGCGGCGGACGCTATGGCGAACGCCAGCGGACCCGCCGCCAGCGACCCGCCAGCGAAGTCGCCAGCGAAGTCGCCAGCGGCCCGCGATCGCGTTTGCGCCATCGACTGCAGCCAGCGCCACCTTGCACCTCG